ATCTCTATAAAGTGATCCAAAATCAACATAAAGTACGCCAACCCCTTATTTTGGTTTTCATAATTTTTGTTTATTTAACTTAACTTAAGATTTTCGAACGTAAACCCTTCTTGAGTTTTTATTAATAGATACGATAATGTCTCCTCTACATAACCTATGCAGTCGTTGCCCGTCACAATTTCTATAAATAGGTCAAAAATCAACTGAAAGTATGCCCCCTCCCCCCTTTTCGTTTTTGCAATTTCAGTTTTTTAAACCTAACTTCAGATTTTTGAACATAAACCATTCTGGAGTTTTTACTAAATAGATACGCAAATGTCTCCCCTACATCATCTTTGCGGTTGTTTCCCGTCACAATATTTTTCAATGGGTCAAAAATCAACTTAAAGGTGTGCCCCTTCCCCTTTTCGTTTTTACAATTTCAGTTTTATTCACAAAACTTCAGATTTTTCTTGATAGGTACGCCAATGTCTTCTCTACATCACCTATGCAGTCGTTTCCAGTCACAATCTCTATAAATGGGTCAAAAATCGACTTAAGGTGTACCTCTCCTCCTTTTCGTTTTTACAATTTCAGTTTTTTTTAACTTAACTTCAGATTTTTTAACATAAACCATTCTGGAGTTATTTTTTAAAGATATGCCAATATCTCCGCTATATTACCTCTACAATCGTTGCCCGTCACAATCTCTAAAAAGTGATCCATAATCAACATAAAGTACGCCACCCCCCTTATTTTGGTTTTGATAATTTTCGTTTATTTAACCTAACTTAAGATTTTCGAAAATAAACCATTCTTATGTTTTTCTTAATAGATACGATAATGTCTCCTCTACATCACCTATGCAGTCGTTTCCCGTCACAATCTCTATAAATGGGTCAGATATCAACTTAAGGTATGCCACCCCAACCTTTTTCGTTTTTTCAATTTCAGTTTTTTAAACCTAACTTCAGATTTTTGAACATAAATCATTTGTTACGGCCAGAAAAAAAACATAAAACTATCTGGAGTTTTTCTTAATAGATACGATAATGTCTCCTGTACGTTACCGATACGGTCGTTGCCCGTCACAATCTCTATAAATGGATCAAAAATCAACTTAAGGTATCCCCCCTTTTAGTTTTTTACAATTTCAGTTTTTTAAACCTAACTTCCGATTTTTGAACATAAACCATCCTGGAGTTTATCTTAATAGATACCATTATGTCTCCTCTACATCACCTAGGCAGCCGTTGCCCGTCACAATCTCTATAATTGGGTCAAAAATCAACTGAAGGTATCCCCCCTTTTCGTTTTTAATTTCGGTTTTTTCAACCTAGCTTCAGATTTTTGAACATAAACTATCCTGGAGTTTATCTAATAGATACCCTAATGTCTCAGCTGCATCACCTATGCAGTCGTTGTCCGTCAAAATCTCTATAAATTGGTCAAAAATCAACTTAAGGTATGCCCCCTCCCCCTGTCGTTTTTACAATTTTAATTTTTTAAACCTTACTTCATATTTTAAACATAAACCATTCTGGAGGTTGTCAAAGACTCATCAGTGACGCTCGAATAAAAAAAGTTAAAAAGACCAAATAAAGTACGAAGTTGGAAGGCATTGAGGACCCAAAATTTCGAAACAAAGGTTTTGCCGAATACACTTAGTAATATATTCCTGGGGTAAAAAATCTTTAGTATTTTAAAAATTTCAAAGTTTACAATAGTACAGTCACTCAAAAAAAGAAAAAGAAAAGAGAAACAGCTAGAGGTCAGAATACATTAAGTAATGATGACCATGCTTAAAAATCACATGTCAAGCTCTTACTGCTGTGTCCTGAATTAAGATAAAAAATACGAAAATTCACATTCGCGAGTGAAATTAATATTTATACATGCACGTGGTTTTCCTGCACAAGAAATAGTATATGAAAGCATATGCACTGATACGCTAGATAAGAATACGCATTTTCGTCATCACATATATCAATCTAGGCTCAAATCTATTGTTTAATAGTTGAATTCGAATGTCAAACTATCTACTTCAAGTGTTTTGACTCCGGATTCATTGCCATTTAATCCGGAATTTGTGTGAACGCAAAGGGTGGTATATAATGTAAATGAACCAAGACGTGTGCAGGATAGCTGGTCAACACAGTGAATACAATTTTCAAAATCGTATCATAATGCAAAGATTTAAATCGATAAGATTGAACTATTAACCACAACAAAAAAGAATTGAAATCTGATTAACATACATTCCTGATAATGAATCTTTTCCTAAAATTTAAAATATAATAACAATAAACACAAACGTCATGTATTAATTTTCTGATGGACATTTTATTTATCAAATCAATCTCTTCTTAAAGTCAAACTTTCCATTACATGAATATATTGATTGACAAAATATAAGCAGAAACATATAAAACAGTATAAAATAATTAACGCAGTAATTATTTTTTTTTAATGATTATTGTAAAATAATAATTACGTTTTTTATATTCCTTGTGAATTGAAACTATGACAGTATTTTTTCATTCACTACCGTTTAAAAATTAGATACTAGTTTATATGTACGCATCTCTGCTCATTGGTGCTCATATGTTGCATATAATTTTCATAAATGTATAATTATTCACTGTTCAAACCTCTTTGGCCTAATACATGTATAACAATTTGAATTATATTCTATTAAGGATAAATTTAGTCTCAGTTTAAACTTAATAATTTTGATGAATATTCTCTTGGTCTATTAGTATCTATTAAAGAAATTAAATATTTTTGACAGAAAAATCCTTTTGTTTGAGTATCTTTCTGCTTTCCGACCACTGTGTTTCCGATAGAACTTAGAAGATAAATATTTATAACAGAAATGTCGTTTTGTTAATTTGCGTCATGCTTTATGACATTTTCCCGGGCTATGATTGACATACAAAATATCACATTGCAAACGTTTAAAAATAATCAATTTATTCTGTGACGTTATATATTAATAAACTATTCCCAGGTTTATTGTCACAATGCACAATATCACGTTGTATTACATACTACACACACAACGCGTGCAGGGACCGTCTCAAAACATGAATTATATAATTGCGTTATTTTTATAATTGATATTTAATAGTATTTGATAATATGCGCATTATTAAAAACATATACATGTTTTGTCAAAAGGCAAATAGGTTCACATTTATAAACGATTTTTTTTTACTGCAATCTATAGTCTTTATTTTTTTACTTTCCGATCTAAAAATGAACGGCGTTGAAATATACAATGTCACGTGGTAGCCTATCCATAGAGGGACCGTATCAAAGACATAAAAAACTACCGAAATTTTTTGAGAGATTCCGAGAATCTTGTTCCCAAAGATATCCGGATGGCCCATAGAAACTACCAAAAACTCACCAATATATAGGCGATCAGGGGTTCACGCGTAAACTCCTGTTAAACTTTCTGAGTGGAATCCTCTTATTATCTCTTCCTTTCAAGGAAACTTACACTTTACATACACTCAAATAGTTAAATGAGCAATGTGTACAAACATTTTGTTTTGTTGACACAATGAAAATGCAACATAAAAATGTGGTGTGTGTTGTTGTTGTGTTCTTGGGTGTCTCAGTTTCAGGTCATGATATTCAGCCGTACACATACGACAGATGCCAATGATACAGAATTTCCCTAATATTCATCTTGTAGCACGATATAGGGAAGCCTGATCACATAAATAAAATGGATTCTGGTGTAGTTTTAACAAATCCTTGTCAGTGAAATAGACTCAAAGTCGATTAGAAGTCCAAAAACTGTTTTATCAAAAAGCCCGATTTTAACAAGGTAACAAGTATAAAAATGTACATCTAAAACATAGACTCAACAATATGCTTCTCCTACTTTATCCGTAACTCTCCTTTTACATCACTGTAACCTCTCTCTACCTTATCTCAAGCTCTTTCTCTCATTTATATCATTCCTATTTGCCCTACTATCGCCCTAATACAAATATAGATATACATTTGCCCTGGTAGAGCACATAAATGCTGACAATGAAATAATTACTAGGTCAACCGGTCAACCGGGCACTAGGGCAACCGGGCCCTGGGTCAACCGACCGGGCTCCATTACATAAATTAACTAGAGCACCATATGCAAATCATTAAGGCTCGCTAGTGAAACAAAGAAATCTAAATATAACTCTTGATTAATATTTCTGATGATATCTAACTGTATTATAATCACTAATAATGAAAATAAGTAAAACTGATACCATTGCATAAAACACTTGGCCTTACATGTAAACATGTTACATTGTATTAAATGCATATGTAGGTTCTGAAGGAAATCCTTACAGTTCATACATATATTCATATACTTAAAATTACACCATAAATTGCATAAATGTTTGAAAAGTGAATATATATTGCCTCCCATTTTTCCTTTGTACACCTATTAACAGAATTGCATACTTGATACTGTCTTGTTAACTGAGATTGTGTTAATCTCAACAACGGAAAACAAAATGTCACAACTTGTCACAACCACCTTCGTTAGTTCATTAACTTTCTTAAACGACACATCATATCCAATTCAATGAACTTCATATTTTCTACTTTAGTCATTAAAAAGCACAGTTCATATTGCTCTAAGAATTTATTTATTCAAATCTTTCAATTTTGCATCCCCTTTTTTTTTTGGATATCTTACTAAAAACGCGTTTCATTTTGACAAGAGCTAAAATATGTCAGAAAGAATTCTTAAATAAAAAAAGAAAAGATTTTTTTCTTTCAGTTTTCAAATAAATGAAATTTCTTTGTATGCAATATGTATTTCAAATATAAGTATATAATACAACTATCACTCCAATGAATAACTTCTATAAAATGGTCCATGATTGAAACATTTAGATTGAAATGCATTGTAAATCGGACAGCTGAAGGTTTATATGTATAAAGATATAGGGGTTTTGTTTATTGCAGGTTTAAATATTGTACAAATGATAGAAAATGAATTCTTTTGTATGAAGACGCTATTTGAAGCTAGAATTTACATGTATGAAGAAGTCCGACTGTGACAAACATCAGTAGCGTTGTTATGCTGATGGAGTTGAGTGATGCACTGCTTATTTCTCTAGTGTCTGCAAATAATAATATCAAAAAAAACATCAACAAGATATCATTTACCATGTAAAACCAGGTTTCATTATCCTTACCAAGTGGAGTTGAGTATCATATGATTCGTAATGAGTTTTTTCCCTAGAGAACTCTCAAAAACGGCTTCATTATTTGAAAACCCAAAAGAGTAAATGTAATCTGACAGTCCCAAGCAGTAGTTAGATGAAAATATTAAAACCAATCTGCATATTTATGTAAACTTTTCAATTCATAGTATCAAAAGTTAAAAAATATCATCAATAAAAAAGATGGAACATTTTGTGTTTTAATATTTAAAATTCCAAATATTTAATACAAATCAAGAGAGTAAACTTTCGGCTCATACTTTCAGTGCAAGACGAAGAACTGTCTATTTGGCTCTTCTTGCAAGTGTACAGGAGAAAAGGGAAGAGAGGAGAACTAGGAGACCTGTGCACTGTACATACTGAACCATTGCAGATTTTCTTGCGAAATTCTGGATAACAAGGTATAAGTTGGATTTTTTTTGGGAGATAAACGATTATATTTAAATTCATTTAAGTTATGCATTCCATACCTTTCTTAAATGTATCTCCACATCATAACATTCGTTTGACATTTATGCGTAACACTAAATCTCACTGATTATTTTTAATATAGTTTCTCTTCTAATTGAAAAAAAACCCACATTCTTCTTATTTAGATAAAGGTCAAATGAACGCCCGATTTCATACATCATGCAAGTTGTCCTTTGTGTCTTTTAAAAGATATGTTACATTATCAAAAGCTATCTTTGTATTAAAATATAATGAGTACACCAGCTAAACATTATTGAAACTAAAATAATCATAATTTATCACCTTGGGCGTTATCTGGAGTCCCTGATCCCAGATCAGACGGTGGTAGTTGGTTTGACCAGATGTCCAATATTTCAGGTTTGTAGTTACTTTTAAGTGTGATCTCAACGTCAAAATCCAGATAATGTTTGTCATTTATATCGAATGGTTCCCATGGTACCGATCCATTACCAGCGTATGGCACCCTAAAATAACATAATACAATGCGAGTTACTGGAATTTAAGGATATGAGTGAGAAAAAAAACAAAGTTGTTAATTAATGTCTTAAACCAGTAACTATAGATGCTGTTCTTCATGGGAAAAAAAACTGCAATTATATTTTATTTTATTTTCTAACACTTGTTTAAGATTCTCTTGTTTTTTCTCCCTCGCATAAAGTTGATAACAAATTTCACAATGTGTTCTTGACTATAAAAGATAAAATATTTCCCTCTTCATGCTAGTAGGGTAATTACTTCGGAAATAACATAGCTGATATCATTTCATAATTTGTTTATTGCATCAATTGTACTTAAATTCTACTGACCACCAACCGTCTCGAAAGACTCTTTGAGTAAACATTCTACTCACCAACCACCGTCTCGCAAGACTCTTAGAGTAAAAATTCTAATGACCACCCACCGTCTCGCAAGATTCTAAAATGAAATTTATAATGACCACCCACCGTCTCGCAAGACACTTAAGTAAAATTCTAATGACCACCCACCGTCTCGTAAGACGCTTAGAGTAAAATTCTACTGACCACAAACCGCATCGCAAGATCTTGGAGTAAAATTCTTCTGACCCCAAGACACTTCGAGTAAAATTCTACTGACCATCCACCGTTTAGCAAGACTCTAAGAGTAAAATTCTAATGACCATCCACCGTCTTGCAAGACTCTTAAAGTGAAAATTCTACTGACCACCAACCGTCTCTCAAGACTCTTAGAGTAAAATTCCAATGACCACTCACCGTCTTGCAAGACTCTTAAAGTAAACATTCTTAAGAAGGTATCTTTAATGCAAAATATGCAAGACTCTTAGAGTAAAAATCCTAATGACCACCCACCGTCTCGCAAGATTCTAAAAGTAAAATTCCACTGACCACCCACCGTCTCGCAAGAATCTAAAAGTAAAATTCCACTGACCAACCACCGTCTCGCAAGACACTTCGAGTAAAATTCTAAAGACCACCCACGCAAGATTCTAAAAGTAAAATTCCACTGACCACCCACCGTCTCACAAGTATCTAAAATTAAAAATTCTTAAGAAAGTATCTTTAATGCAAAATATGCAAGACTCTTAGAGTAAAAATCCAAATGACCACCCACCGTCTCGCAAGATTCTAAAAGTAAAATTCCACTGACCACCCACCGTCTCGCAAGAATCTAAAAGTAAAATTCCACTGACCAACCACCGTCTCGCAAGACACTTCGAGTAAAATTCTAAAGACCACCCACCGTCTCGCAAGACGCTTAGAGTAAAATTCCAATGACCACTCACCGTCTTGCAAGACTCTTAAAGTAAAAATTCTTGAGAAGGTATCTTTAATGCAAAATATGCAAGACTCTTAGAGTAAAAATCCTAATGACCACCCACCGTCTCGCAAGATTCTAAAAGTAAAATTCCACTGACCACCCACCGTCTCGCAAGAATCTAAAATTAAAAATTCTTAAGAAAGTATCTTTAATGCAAAATATGCAAGACTCTTAGAGTAAAAATCTTAATAACCACCCACCGTCTCGCAAGATTCTGAAAGTAAAATTCCACTGACCACCCACCGTCTCGCAAGAATCTAAAAGTAAAATTCCACTGACCCACCACCGTCTCGCAAGACACTTCGAGTAAAATTCCAAAGACCACCCACTGTCTCGCAAGACTCTTAGAGTAAAATTCCAATGACCACTCACCGTCTTGCAAGACTCTTAAAGTAAAAATTCTTAAGAAGGTATCTTTAATGCAAAATATGCAAGACTCTTAGAGTAAAAATCATAATGACCACCCACCGTCTCGCAAGATTCTAAAAGTAAAATTCCACTGACCAACCACCGTCTCGCAAGAATCTAAAAGTAAAATTCCACTGACCACCCACCGTCTCGCAAGATACTTCGAGTAAAATTCTAAAGACCACCCACCGTCTCGCAAGACTCTTAGAGTAAAATTACAATGACCACTCACCGTCTTGCAAGACTCTTAAAGTAAAAATTCTTAAGAAGGTATCTTTAATGCAAAATATGCAAGACTCTTAGAGTAAAAATCCTAATGACCACCCACCGTCTCGCAAAATTCTAAAAGTAAAATTCCACTGACCACCCACCGTCTCGCAAGACACTTCGAGTAAAATTCCAATGACCACTCATCGTCTTGCAAGACTCTTAAAGTAAAAATTCTCAAGAAGGTATCTTTAATGAAACATATGCGAATATAAACATTTAAAAAACAAAGACGGGAGATGTCAAAGGGAAAGTTAAACTCATTAGTGGAAAACGATTTACCATGCCATGACAGAAACAAAAGAAAAACAACTTAAAGACAAGCAACAGTCTACAAAACATAACATAGAAAAATAGACTGAGTAACAAAGATAAAGAAGATAGATCTGCATACAAAAGATAAATACTGCACATAGGGGTAATGACTAATGAGAATGATGAAGCACACGGACTTCTCTTCTGAACAAAAGAAAGTTATCAAAAAAACCGGTTAATAGGGGCTATGGAAAGATAAATAGATCCTGTTTTACACGAGGCAACCGTAATGTTACTCATGTAAGTACAAATTTGGTGATGTAAAATTACAGAAAGAGAGGACGGCATTGTGATTCAACAACTTGAACATATCCGTCGTCATATGTGAATCAGACATTCTATAACGCTCATCAAAATGCATGATTCTTTCTTTTTTCGAAGGAATGATTTCAACTTCACAACTTTGAACCTTTGGTTTGATAGCTTCCCTTTAAGCAGCCAGTCTCTACTGAGGAAATCATAATAGGAAATGCAAGCTCCGGAATATCATATCAACTGGGAAATGTATATCTGATATATATGCAGGCGCTGCTGTAATGTTGATACATAGAAAGATTAACAAATAGGAAGCTGAAATAACTGCGGTTATATTTTTTTTCATGGAAACATAATTTTTCAAACATAAAAGTTTACATTGACATAGATTATATAAAAGGCGTATGTACAAAATTTAAAGACTATGTTTCGAGAAAAAATGCTACTCAAACTTTTATCGGCGTCTTGTGTTTTTGTTCTAGCAGAGACATATGCTCTTATATTTCTCGGATTCTAGATATACTTACTAAGTGTATCTCTCAAAGATGGGTATGTTGGTGTATACGCTTTTAAAGATTGAAATATAGTATTCCCTCAAAATGAGCAAGTCACTGCTCTGTATTTACAAATAAGTAGCTTGAAAGGTTTTGCACGTGAAAACAAAGGAAAAAATACCTTCAGAAGTACCTATTGAAAGTGGACTTAAATCTCGCACGACTTTTGATTTTGCAAAAAATAAAACTTAACTATCATTTTCTTCTTACCCAGTCTCAGCAAAAGATGTCCAATAACTTATCATTTTCTTTCCAAAATCCTCATCTTTATCATTTAGTATCACTTCTTCATCCAGTGACAGAAACTTTGTGATATTGAAAAAGTAAAGCAATTCATCACCATGGCCGACACCTTTAAACCACGATGGAGGAGGTCCGCCGAAAGGTTTTGGGCTTAATTTGGATACCACATATTGGTATGTGTTACCTCCAGAGTGATATTCTAACATTTTATTGATACCAAAGTTAAATGAAATGTCAGCCCAGGAATCAGTTGCTTTTAAAGATTGATTTACGACAGACTCTGCGGAATAATATTTACACAGTTTGTCCGAGACGTTTGAGTTGTTAGCATACCACGTTTCCACGAAGGGTGACAATATTCCGTCACAAACGGCTTTCAAAGGAATACCTTTAGATAAATTAAATTTGTAGTATTCTTGAAAACTTGGTGTAATTACCATATATAGTAAGGATCCTTCGTTAGAGACAGCCCCCGCCATGAAATCTAGAGAACGGAAAAACTTGGACACATCTGATGAGTTGTCTTCAAGACTTTTAATTGGATGTTCAAGAAACAATTCATGATCTACAACCGGCATTACAATGCCTTCAAAAATCATCTTGTCCGCTGGCATTGAGGCAATAGGGTTGGTCAGTTCAAGGATTTCATCAGCAGTTTTCTTTCTTAAGCAGTCAACGAATATTTTCTTGTCAGCGAATGGACAGGAAGATTTTTGAGCTATTTCTGCTGCAAATTTTTCAACAGTGCTATCTTTTAGCACAGTAAATCTAGTTACAACACTACTCTGTGCAATAACTCGCTGAAAAAGTCCTTTATTTGAAGGTATAAGTGACTGAAATGATGCAGCACCTGCCCCCGCGGATTGGCCAAATACTGTTACAGACTCAGAATTACCTCCAAATGATGCAATATTATCATGTACCCATTGCAGTGCCATCTTTTGATCCCATAAACCATAGTTACCTCTTGCTGCAGAATGACCTACAGCAAAATATCCAAATCCGCCAAGTCTGTAGTTTATTGTTAAAATTATTACATTTCCTTCCATTGCAAGTTTTCCACCATCGTATTGGTGTCCATAACCAGTCAAAAAGACGCCACCGTGTATCCATACCATTACTGATAAAGATTCGTTTAAATTTCTCGGAACGTAGACATTCAATACCAAACAATCTTCCGACATAGCAGGTCTAGTAAGTTCGGGTATGAAATTGATACCCGGCTGCATACAGATTGCTCCGAATTTCGTTCCATCATGAACTTCTTTCCGTTTTTCAAGTGGTTCTGTTTTTTTGAACCTCAATGGACCAATTGGTGGTTTGGCGAATGGTATTCCCCTGAATTCATATAAATGTTCTCCTGTTTTGTGATAATTCAGTTTCAGTCCTTTGATTGGTCCAGACGGTGTATTTATAACCGTTGTGTCTTCGTTTTTATCAGCACCAATAAGAACAACCAGACAAATAAAACTGAAACATTTGAACGATGATTTCATTGTGGTATCACTACGATCTACCTAAAAGAAAGATGAAATAACAATTTATGGTTTGTTTATTATTTGTTCAAATTTGGCATAACATTTTGGTATTTTTATTGTTTAACTTAACACACAATCTGTATGTGCCTGTCCAAAGTCGGGAGACTGTAATTCAGTGGTCGTCGTTGGTTACTACATGTCTTTCATATTTGTTATTCGTTTATTATTTTAATATAAGTCTATGGTTTTCTCATTTGAATTGTTTCATTTTTATCAAGACGGAGCCTTTTATAATTACATATACATTTGGGTTTGACCGTTTTTGCAATGTGTTACGCAGAAAAGGGCAGTGGAATCGCTGCTATATCGAGTTGTCTCCCCTTTCCCTCCAAAACGTTAATAACTTTACTAAATAACCGTGCGGGGGACGGACATCTTTCACTTTTGGGGATTCTTATATTTTATGGATTCTTACTTCTTTCGGCAATATGGAAATTATAGCTTCTATCCGGGTATCTGGGAAATCTAGCATTTTTCGGGGATTCTAACTGTGACCTGGGGAATTCTAACTCACTCATATCTTATCTAAGTAATTCCTTCTGTAGACGTGTCCATCTTCTCGGACACTTGTTCTTTCGAGTCCTGGCGCTGGTGAATGAAATACAATGATGTTTTAATTATTTATTCCAAACAGCAATCTAAATTGAAGTGTGATATGTGATCAAATTAATTTAAATAGGAAACTTTATTTTAACTTAATTATGTTAATGAAAATCTCTTTTATAAATCTAGGTTCAGTTTTAAATATCAAACTTAAGTTATTAAATCAGAAGATAAATTCTTACTTTAAAATTCAATTGAAAATAGTTTACACTTAAACAATTTACATACTTGGTGAATAAAATACAATGATGTTTTAATTATTTATTCCAAACAACAATTATAATTGAAGTGTTATATGTGATGTTGGGAGTTTGCGGTCTTCCTTTTTAAACCCAACATCACGTGCTGATTTGAACTATTTTATTCATCTATGAAATTTCAGCGTCAATTTTGAATTTTCTAAAGTTACTATTTATTGGACAACTATTCTTTTTTTATGTAAAAGATTTATATGATTGACATATATTTTATTTAGTTATGTACAAGCAATTAATGGATTATCAAAATCTTTACTTAATTTACAGGATTATTTTAGTGGACAATAGAAACACTTTAAGTTTTTTTTTCCTATGGCAAATTAAAAACATTTTTATTCTTTAAGAAGATGACAGTTTAGTATATGTAAGAGAATGATAATCCCTTTCTTCGTGATTAATTACGAGCGTTAGCGAGTACTTATCATGAAGTAAAGGATTATCATTCTCTTACAAACTAAGAATATTGTAAAGTGCTCTAGGCTCAAATGGTCGTCTCTTGATTGGTTGTATTCAAGAATTAGTTTCATTGTCAGTGTAAATTAAATGTTTATAATTGATGCATGACTTCATTTTTCAGCATTTCATTTATGGGTTAGTTTTAGTGATGTAAGGACTTCCTTATAATTTGGGAAATATTTTTAAAAAAAAAGCGTTATAAACATTAGGTGACACAACAGTACAAAGAAAAGGTAGGAATTGTATATGTTTCCTGATTGTGAGTATGAATGTAAATCATGTAATATTTCATTGAGGAATTGTCCTCTTTTTTACAGTTTAAATCAATAAACGCATTTGAGTTACAACTAATTTTATTTCATAGCCAATATTTTGGTCCGGCTTTTTAAATCAAATACTATTTCATTATGTCAGGAAAATGTTGTAATAAAATGCCTTTAAAAGTTTTAAATATATTTAAAACTTAAATCAAATTCCTGTTTTTTTTTATTTTATCGGAATATTGGAAATAACTATTCTTTCAAACCGCTGGTTCAGTAATCAGAGTTTCGGAAAGCTAAAGATTTAGGTTATTTTTTAAAACTTTTTTTCTCTTTTTTGCATTGCTGTGATATCGTTTTTTTTGTTTTTTTTTAGTAATTTGAAGTAATTAATATTTTCATAAAAACATTAAAGGTACAAATTTTACTGCACCAGTAAACTTCAACTTATTTTGATTTGTTTGTTTGTTTCACAATTCAACTTTTAGTCAGTTTCAATCACAAATTCTTTCAATCTGATAAATGTGCTTCGGGGTAGTTGTAACTCATTTGTTTAAAGAAACTCTTTGTTTTGAAATGTAAATAGACCCAAATAATAGGATAATTCCTTATTAAGAACATGATTTACATTCATTCTTCACAATTAAGAGACACCAAACCCTACAATTTCATTGGTCGAGGGCACTTTGCTATATTCTAATTTACTTCATTTCTCAACGTCACTTTAATAGCTATGATCAAAAGAACTTAAAAAAAAATTAGATTAACCATATTATTAACAAAAAGACGAAACTATTTATAACTTAATCTTACGTCACCTATTTTGTCTAAAAACTTTAGCATTAATGCAATATAATTCAATTTCATTTATTTATTCGTTTATTTATCTAAGTTTACTCTAATTTACTTCCATTTTGCAACATACAATTTTCCATCATTATAAATATCCTATATGTTTTGTAGATTTATCTATGTATTAGTTTTCAAGATAACGGGCAGAAAGGATCAAATTCGTCAAAAATCGTAATGCAAGGACTATATTTCTTATAAGGCGCAATTTTAAGGTGGTACCCAACAGCTTGACTAATACTAATTTGGCTCGTTTAATTTTCCTAAAAATTTGACAAAATGTTTACTTTGACCCTTTGACAAAAATATAAAAATTTCAAATAATTTGAACCAACCACTTTATCAGAAAAATTTCACTAGTTATATAGCAGTTTGACAAACACTAATTTTGATCATTGAGAATCTTGATATTTCCTTAACAATACATACAACATGATTAAAACGTTTAGCTGATTTCTACAGAGTTATCTCCCTGTAGTGTTAGGTACCACCTTAAGGTTAAAGTAATAACGGCATTTTTACGAGTATTGTATTGCTGTAAGTTTTTGCTAAAAAAATCTTTAGAATCAGTCATTTTAGGAGAGGAACTCCTATAAGCAGTCACTTTCAGAAATTAATCATGTTGACATTTTATAGAAATATCATTTTTAAGAAAATATCGGGGAAATGTAACAATTAGGGATGCCAACGAGTACTCGAGTATTGCTGGGTAGTACCGAGTATCGAATAACAAAATGATTCTCGACTAGTCGGTTTTCTGTTAGAATATGTTGTTGCCTTCCTAAAGAAATTAAATATTTTTATTAAGAGCGCCTCCAAGGAAATCAAATATCAAATATCAATCACAATTAATCAAAATTAAAATACGTTTCGAATGTTTGCGTTTAATTGTCATTTAAAATTGGTAGGCTACGAACAAGAGCACTTTTCCAAGGCTTACACTTTTAGCTAATCGTGTCTTAGTCATTCCACCACCTCTGTACCGTCATAGAAAAAGTTGACAAGATAATAATGGTTTTATGCATCAATAAGTTCTAATCATCACCCCTTTGTTGATTATTTATGTGTTTTTTTTATGATTCCCAAACATATACTATTGTTTGAGTAATCATTTTTCTACAGATGTTTATTCATTAATTGATTAGATTATTGTCAGTTTATATAATTAGTACATTTAGTAAATGAGGTATTTATTATCGTATAAATTTATATATATATATATATTAATCCCGTCTCTCATAATTATTTTTAGAATGGCATTAATATTTTATATTGTTTTATGTATTCGTGTATTATGTTATGTATTGTAATATAAATGGTGAGACGTAAATAAAATTTTTGTATCTTGTATAAAATTCCTTGAACTATTATCTAGTCCTGGGTAATAACGTTGATGGTTTTAAGTCCATAAGACAACGTCCCACAATACGTAAAATGTGTATAATTTTGTGTTTCAATTTTTGTAGATGTTTTCCCCAGTGAGTACTCGAGTATCGCTCGGTAAATCCAACGAGTAGTCGATTAGTAAATCTTCACCGAATTGACATCCCTAGTAACAATGCGTCAAATATCTTAATCTAATGGACATAACTACCTGATATTAATCCTTAAAGAAGTTAATTTATTCCGACTCAGCTGACATTTTTAAGGTCTGCCATTGCTTTTCATGTTTGCTATTTAAACATTTTCTGTCCAGTAATCATAGTATTTCAGGCTATTGGCAAAATGCTAAAATTTGTCAAAAATCGTCACTTTAGGGTAAGAAGTGAAAGGGGGTCAATTTATGGTTTCAGTCATTTTTGCATTTTTGTAGACATTGTGTTGCTTGTAATATTTACTAATATATATAACTACAAGCTCTCAGAAGTTTGAATCGTTAGCAGTCATAAGCATTTATTTGTTATGGTTGTCATAGACATCAATAGTTTTTTTTCGGTGAAATATTTTCTGTATTGCAAAGGTTTAGACTATAAGCAGCTATGGTGCCCAACTGGAAAATATATATGCATGTATTTTTATCATTTTAACAATAAGGATAGTTAGTCACAGTTTGGTCAATATTGAGCGTCCATTGATTTCGAAATGGAAATATTTGCAAAAGTTTATGCCTTTTTCGGACGAGGAAATGTATCAACAATTTCTGATTTCCGATAAAACTAAAAACAAAAACATTTAATAATCCTTTTTCCTTAAATTGAAATTAAGTTATGCAAATTGGATAAACTATTTAATCCCTATTTCTATGTTTTAATGAATTGTTTAATATAATTTAGTTAATATTAACATAAATAACGGGATAGCAGTCAGATTTCGAGGTCATACGCTATATTTATGGAAAAAAAACATTGGAAAACAATTTCACATAAAATGTATTCAAATGAGATTTTCAGATTTATTTATTTTTAGAATTAATCGCATTTGACTACAATGTTCGAAAAAGATTGGGTTCGTATAAATTTACCCACATATTCAGAGGAGACAATGTTACTAATTTTTATATGGTTACGATGGTCACCAAATGATTGTTATTATATACTT